TACTGCCAAGAAAAATGCTCAGAAGAGGTGTTTTGTCTGTGGACATACCACAAAACGCACACAAAACGCAGAGACACTCGTTTTATGTGTGAGGAGTGTAAGACACCATTGTGCTTATACCCATGTTTCAAAGAATTCCACAAGCTGCAGCACTTCTAATAAAGTGTCCAGTGATTGTACATATGTATATATATTATAAAGCAATCGTAATAAACATTTGTTTACATTGTTTGTTTGTGTAAACAAGTTTTAGCAACATTATAATGATACGAGTGTTTTTGCTATAATTGTGTTACATTCAACGAGTGTATATTTGAACATTGCACAATAATTTGGTCTCACAGGCCACAAAAGTTATGTGAAAAAATAAAATAGTGAAAAAAACAAGAAACCATCGAATACAAGTAAATAAAAGTTTACCGGGTGAGCGGCAGTCGCCGCTGTTGCCGCCAGCAGATCAATTTCAGCAAACTTCAGGACTCTATATCTCGGTAAGTACTGATGGGAAAATTTTTTTTTTGGGACTAAAACAATCAGAAAAATAATCTTAACATTTTCATAAGAAAAAATAATTTTTTTTTTTTCGAATATTTTGCGACACCAGGAGCAACTTCAGGATTGGGCCCTTCGACAGTCAAAGGGTTAAAATAATGAATCCTAACTAGTCATAAGTTGGCCTGTGATACTCCAATACTGAAACTATGTACTGTATCAAAACAAAAGCATTCACATTGCTAAACTCACAAACTAGTATTTAGTCACTTAGCCATAATACCAACTTACCTCATAATTTGTAATATTTTAAATTTGAGAATTAATCTAAGTCTGCCCGAAATGCCTAGCCATGCTAGGTGTTCTAGTGGTACACTCTGTAATTATTATTTTACTACATGTAAACCCCACAATAACCAAATTCCGTAAACTCAGCATTGTAATCCTTATAGAGAATAAACTTTGAATTTGAATTTGAAAAACCATCCACAGAAACAAGATGGTACAGACAAAGTGAACAGGGAGACCAGTGAATGCATTGTAAAGCCAGCTGCTGCCGTGGACTATACGAACAACATGCGACTAGTTGACAAGTGTGACATGATGATAGGGTTCATTGACTGTGTATGTAGGAGTCGCAAGTGGTATATAAAACTCTTTTTTCACCTTGTAGACATTGCAGTGCTCAATGCATTCAGTATGTATGAAATAAAGACTGGAAAACGACAACATATTACAGAACTCTCTCTGAATGTTGTCAAACAGATAGCAAGAAAGTATGGTATCACACCTGTACCTGCCCTTAAACATCGACTTGTCCCACAACCACAGCCAGTGGGGAAAGTTCCAGACGAATCATCCCTAACTGTCACTATCTGGTACCAATACCACCTACCCCAAAGAAGAATTCCCAGAAAAAGTGTGTTGTGTGTGCTACCACCACAAAACGACCCCAACAATGGTAGGACACAGAATTCATGTGTCACCAGTGTGTGGGGTGGTACTCTGTATGAATCCATGCTTCATGGAGTATCATACAATTGTGGAATTCTGGAAATGTAAGTGGGACATGTAAATACTTGTATATAGTTGTAGATAATAGAATTTGATTCAGCCAGGTGTGCAAAATCACCTGTACTCACCTAGTTGAGGTTGCAAGGGTCGAGTCCGAGCTCCTGGCCCCGCCTCTTCACTGATTGCTACTAGGTCACTCTCCCTGAACCGTGAGCTTTATCATACCTCTGCTTAAAGCTATGTATAGATCCTGCCTCCACTACATCGCTTCCTAAGCTATTCCACTTACTACTCTGTGGCTGAAGAAATACCTCCTAGCATCCCTGTGATTCATCTGTGTCTTCAACTTCCAACTGTGTCCCCTTGTTACTGTGTCCAATCTCTGGAACATCCTGTTTTTGTCCACCTTGTCAATTCCTCTCAGTATTTTGTATGTCGTTATCATGTCCCCCCTATCTCTCTTGTCCTCCAGTGTCGTCAGGTTGATTTCCCTTAACCTCTCCTCGTAGGACATACCTCTTAGCTCTGGGACTAGTCTTATTGCAAACCTTTGCACTTTCTCTAGTTTCTTTACATGCTTGGCTAGGTGTGGGTTCCAAACTGGTGCCGCATACTCCAATATGGGCCTAACGTACACGGTGTACAGGGTCCTAAACGATTCCTTATTAAGATGTCGGAATGCTGTTCTGAGGTTTGCTAGGTGCCCATATGCTGCAGCCGTTATTTGGTTGATGTGCACTTCAGGAGATGTGCCTGGTGTTATACTCACCCCAAGATCTTTTTCCTTGAGTGAGGTTTGTAGTCTCTGGCCCCCTAGACTGTACTCCGTCTGCGGTCTTCTTTGCCCTTCCCCAATCTTCATGACTTTGCACTTGGTGGGATTGAACTCCAGGAGCCAATTGCTGGACCAGGTCTGCAGCCTGTCCAGATCCCTTTGTAGTTCTGCCTGGTCTTTGATCGAGTGAATTCTTCTCATCAGCTTCACGTCATCTGCAAACAGGGACACCTCAGAGTCTATTCCTTCCGTCATGTCGTTCACAAATACCAGAAACAGCACTGGTCCTAGGACTGACCCCTGTGGGACCACGCTGGTCACAGGTGCCCACTCTTACACCTCGGCACGTACCATGACTCACTGCTGTATTCTTGACAAGTATTCTCTGATCCATTGTAGTGCCTTCCCTGTTATCCCTGCTTGGTCCTCCAGTTTTTGAACTAATCTCTTGTGTGGAACTGTGTCAAACACTTTCTTGCAGTCCAAGAATATGCAATCCACCCACCCCTCTCTCTCTTGTCTTACTGCTGTCACCATGTCATAGAACTCCAGTAGGTTTGTGACACAGAATTTCCCATCCCTGAAATCATGTTGGCTGCTGTTGATGAGATCATTCCTTTCTAGGTGTTCCACCACTCTTCTCCTGATAATCTTCTCCATGATTTTGCATATTATACATGTCAGTGACACTGGTCTGTAGTTTAGTGCTTCATGTCTGTCTCCTTTTTTAAAGATTGAGACTACATTTGCTGTCTTCCACGCCTCAGGCAATCTCCCTGTTTCGATAGATGTATTGAATATTGTTGTTAGGGGTACACATAGCGCCTCTGCTCCCTCTCTCAGGACCCATGGGGAGATGTTATCTGGCCCCATTGCCTTTGAGGTATCTAGCTCACTCAGTGTGTACATGTGTGTTTATGACAATATGATAATAATTTTGTATATAATGTTGGTGTATAAACATCAATTGGCATTGAAATCAAAAGATTTGCTATAAAACATAATTATCATATCATGAAAACCAAGAAAATTAAAAAAAAAAATGGAAGAAAACGGTAAATATGTATAATTTTTGCAAGCGGCAGTGCTCCATGTTGCCATCAGGTGATCACCAAGTGCCAACTTCGTGGCCTCATGTCTCGGTAAGTAGTGACCCTAAAAATTTGTTTTTATTCTAAAAAACTTTAAAAAAATGTGCTCTTTCTTTCTATAAAAAAATTCAAAATATTCGGGGCGCTTGGCGAGAGAATGTATATATACGTTTGGACCATTTAGAGGTTAATACTGCGCACACCGAGTGTTAAGACCCATTCTATGCTGACCAGGCATCTCAGGCCAATGGTGCCAAATTTGGAGGCAGGAAAAATAAAACATTGATCTATGTTTGTAGTGCTAGCAGTAACAACATAGATTTATGTTTGGACAGTTAAGGGTTTAAAAGAGGGGTTTGGGATATTGGCTGTTTGGAGTGACATCTGAACTGTCAAAGACAGTGATTGTGTGAATGATAGTGAAAGTGTTGAATAATGGTAAAAGTGATTCTTTCTTGTTTGGGTCACCCTGCCATGGTGGGAGATAGCCAATGTGTTAAAAGAAAAAAATGTTAAACCTCAGTTTAACAGATTTTGGATTTAACAGACAGAATCTATTGTTCAGACAAAAGCACTTTAATTTCAGAATTGTGTTATTGTTATGTCTGCTGGGTAAATTGCTTTTGGATTTAACACTTGTTACATCCCATTTTAAGCCAATTACATTATTCCAGTCACCCAAATTTTTAGCTGTTTCACTAGTATTACTTATTTTATCGATTGAGCACAAGAAATCACTAAGTCATCTGTTTCAACTACAGAATAAAGTGATCGGAAATTGGTAATTTAGCCAGTTTAACGCAAAGTTCAAAATATTCCAATTTCAAAATAGGGTCCAGAATAAACAATGCAGGCATTCCTGGCACTAAACTAACATTTCCTCTGTTCATTAGTTATGTTCTCAGGCTTTACAAATGAATTCCTTTTTTATTTTTTATTCACTTAATGAATTTTTATTCAAACCAAAAATAGATTTACTGTTATGCAATATTGTAATAATTGTATAAATAATATCACCACATTTGTGAACGTATATTAGACCCACCAGCTGATGTGTATTAGATGTGAGGTCATTTGTTTACTCTTGAACATTGGCAAAAATGTAACATTTCTGCTACTTTGAGCTCAATTTCAAGCCATTTCCAGTACAAAAATCAATCAAAATCATCTCTATTTCTGTAATATATCTTCCATTCTATCAAATGAGACCAAGAAATCAAAAACACAACTATAAAAAACACACTAAAAAACACTGCAAAGTTGCTGTTTTAATTTGAAAATTACATTCTCAGTTGTTTTTCTCTCATTATACACTGTGTGCTGCAGGATTTGTTTTATATGGTGCAGACATACCACATGGATGTATTCTTTCATATCTAGGCCCAAATTTACCGTTCACAGCTTATCAGAGTGAGCTGAGCTCATGGCATAGATCTACAGTTTGGACCCTCAACTCAAAGCCATGGAACTACGGCACAGGCCCTAAAAGGGTTAATGGACATTTGCCATTACCAGACACCCCCTTCCCCTTCTTCCCCTAAGGTCATTAAATGGAGGTTTCACTGTAATATAATAATTAGGTATGTACATATAATGTGCATACTGTATGCGCTGCTTTTTCTTTCCAGGTTGAAGCTGCTAAGTATCGACAAAATCATCCAAACTGGACAGTTCCCATAATAAGAGGTCCTAGTAAAAAAGAGACTGAAATGTATCTGCTGTAAGTGATGAACTAAGATGCAAGAGTCCAGTAGATGTGATCCTAGTCCACAGTTCTACTGACTCAGTTGGATCATCAGCAGTAAATTTTACATGCCATAACAAGAATCTTAAATTTGTTTTGCAAACTTCACAGATCACATACAGAGAATGCATATGACCTATACAGAATTACCAAAATAAATGTGACATAACATAATAGCAAGTTGAGAGAAACCAGATTTCCAGTATAATATATATTTTCAGACATCTTCATTTATGTATTGGTAGACACTATTTTTTTGGTAATTAACATTACAATACAGATATATGCCAATATTTTATATTGTACCAAAAAACTTAGCAACCTAACTTAACCTCACAAAAATTAACATAGTAAAATTTAGCTTACTCTGACAAAACCCATCTTCAGTAAGCCTAATTTTACTTGTAATGTTGAGTATGCTTTGAATCTTTAACATATGTGAAATATGGGTAATTCTGTACATGCAGTATACATTCTCCATATCTGATTGATGTGATTTTCAGAATATATTAAAAATTCATATTATGAGCTATTAACCAAACTGTTATTTTTATATAGCTGGACTTGAGTCCTGGAAATGGGAAGTACAATGCCTGCACTCTAAAGGAGGGGTTTTGGGATATTAGCAGTTTGGAGGGATATGTTGTGTATCTTTATTACATATATGCTTCTAAACTCTTGTGTTCTGAGCACCTCTGCAAAAACAGTGATTAATTATGTGTGAGTGAGGTGAAAGTGTTGAATGATGATGAAAGTATTTTCTTTTTGGGGATTTTCTTTCTTTTTGGGTCACCCTGCCTTGGTGGGAGACGGCTGACTTGTTGAAAAAAAAAAAAAAAACTTATTGTTGGTTGTAGGTGATTTGATGTAGTAGATCCCTAGGCATAAATACCATAGGTAAGGTAAGGATATGTAAAGTAAAAGGACACATTAAGCCGTAACGGCTTGGTAAAGCTCCTGGAGAGCGAAACGTTGCCACAATAAAAATGTCACATTAGTTGCACTTGTGTCCTTTTACTTTACATATTGTCAGTAATTCTACCAACTTTATTACAAGGTAAGGATAGATTAATAAATCATACAAGGTAAGTAGTGCTGTTTCAGACACACAGTAATGTATCTTGGAGAGGATGCCTACTATTTTGGAGACCTTTATTATGTGCTGGATGTGGGTATTAGGCTTCAAGCTGCAATCCAGGTGTAGACCTAAGAATTTACCCTTGGTTTGCCTTACAATGGGAGAAGCTTTGAACATTTGCATCTCTGTTCCCAAACACCATGTAGAATGTTTGGTCAGTATTAAATGTAAATTTATAATCATCCATATAGATATTTTATTAGCTCCTCATTAACAGTGTTGTAGAGAGGAGTAAGATTTGAGTGGTTAGTTTAGTTTAATATCTTTATTATGCACCCCATACCCATCCTGTGGGTGGTAGTCACCCCAGACCCATCCTGTGGGTGGTAGTCACCCCAGACCCATCCTGTGGGTGGTAGTCACACCATACCCATCCTGTGGGTGGTAGTCAAAAGATTACAGAGGTACATAATGGGTCCAGGGACTGGGCCCCAAGGTTATGATAGCTGAACTAATTACAACAATAATGAACTCCAGGTAGATCTGGTCACAAGTTACAAAGTTAATGAACCATGTACACTCCTATACATGGTTACAATCATGAACAAATTACAAAGTAATGAGCCACTGACACGTCCACACCCGGTCACAGTTGTAATGAGTTATAAATACAAACATTAAGTGGGTCATACACCCACACAAGTTCGCACACACATGAGCGCAAGTGCGCACACACACACACACACACACACATGAGCGCAAGCACACACACACACACACACGAGCACAAGCACACATACACACACACACACACACACGAGGGAGTGGGAGATGACAAAAGTTGTGCTATCTGCAAATGGAACAGGCTCAAGGAGATGAGATACACTGGGGAGATTGTTAATGTGTATAAGAGCAAAGAGCCAAGAGCACTGCCCTGAGGCACCCCTGTGTCAACAGGCCTATGAAGAGGTCTAGGGGATATTCATTTTTTTCAAGAGCTGCATATAGCAATTCAAGAATTTTTATAACTGCATCCTTTATATATATATATTTTTTTTTTTTAGCCTGAAACCAAACTGGCAGGGGTTGAGTGTGTTGTGGGACACTAGAAAACTGTAAACTTGCTTATGGATTAATTTTTTGAAGATTTTAGAAAGTAGTGGCAAGTTAGATATTAATCTGTAGCTATTTACATCAGTTGGATTGCCTCCCTTGTGTATTAGGATAACCCCTTGCTATCTTAAGTGTTCTTGGGAAAGTTCCAGTTTCTAATGATTTGTTGAACAGAATTGTAATAGTGAGTAACAGCATATGAATTGCTTTTTTGTATATTAGTGGTGGTAAATTAATTAAGTTTTCTGCCTTGTTTTTTAGTGAATTTATTATCATTGTGACTTCAGTGGAATTGCAGTGGAACCTCGGTTTTCATATGCCCTAGTTTGTATGTAAAACTATAGTTAGTCTCTATAAAATGTATTTTTATTAATATTTCCCATAAGAAATAATGTAAATCCAATTAATCCGTTCCAGACACCCAAAAAATTAACAAAAAATACATTTTATAGAGATTAACTAAAGTTTTACGCACAAACTAGGGCATACGAAAACTGAGGTTCCACTGTAGTTAGAGCTAGAGTGAGTGAGTGAGTGTAGATAGCTTCCAGTAAGGTAGTCACTCACCTGAGCATTCATTGTGGGGATTTTGTTAACTAGCCTTGATCCTGTAGTTGAGAAGAAATTTTTTAGCATGTTGGCTGTTAAGCAGGCTGGATGTAAGGCTTGTTTGGTTTAGTTAAGATTATATCTCTGGTTTTGGCTGGTTTACAAGAACCCAGGATCTGGGAGAGGGGTTTTCCAGGTCCTTTTCATTTTTTTTTCTTCAATAAGTCAGCCGTCTCCCACCGAGGCAGGGTGACCCAAAATGAAAATACTTTCATCATCATTCAACACTTTCACCTCACTCATACATAATCACAGTCTTTGCAGAGGTGCTCAGATATGACAGTTTAGAAGTCCCTCCAAACTGTCAATATCCCGGACTCCTCCTTAAAGTGCAGGCATTGTAATTCCCATTTCCAGGACTCAAGTCTGACTAAATCTGTAATAACTGGTTTCCCTGAATCCCTTCACTAAATAGTACCCTGCTCACACTCCAACAGCTCGTCAAGTCCCAAAACCCATTCGTCTCCATTTACTCCTATCTAACATGCTCACACATGCTTGCTGAAGTCCAAGCCCCTCACCCACAAAACCTCCTTTACCCCTTCCCTCCAACCTTTTCGAGGACGACCTCTACCCCTCCTTCCTTCCCCTACAGATTTATATGTTCTCCAAGTCATTCTACTTTGAACTATTCTCTCTAAATAACCAAATCACCTCAACAACCCCTCTTCAGCCCTCTGACTAATACTTTTAGTAACTCCACACCTCCTAATTTCCACACTCTGAATTCTCTGCATAATATTTACACCACATATTGCCCTTAGACAGGACATCTCCACTGCCTCCAGCCACCTTCTTGCTGCAGCATTAACAACCCCAAGCTTCACACCCATATAAGAGTGTTGGTACCACTATACAGAGGACCCTCAGACTTATGAAGACCTCATCTTATGATGAAATTGACTTATGAAGCTTTTCACCGTAAAATTTTTACCCCAACCTACGATGAAAAACTCAACTTTCATCATTCGTCCTGAGCGTGGCTGTCTGGTCTGTCTGGCCTGAGTGCCTCAGCTGAGCTAGTGTGACACTGTTTACAAGTCAGGGCGAATGGTTACACTAATACATTTGATAAATTTTGTATTTTTCCAGTGTTTTTAGTGCATGTAACTGCTAAATAAGCCATAATGGGCCCAAAGAAAGCTTCTAGTGCCAACCCTGTGGTAAAAAGGGTGATAAATACTATCGTACCATGGTCAGCTGCTGCTGCTGCTGTACTACCATCAGCTGCTGCTGTACCACTGTCAGCTGCTGTTGTACCCCGGTCAGCTGCTGCTGCTGCTGCTGCTGTAGCACCATCAGCTGCTGCTGTACCACCGTCAGCTGCTGCTGTACCACCATCAGCTGTTGCTGTAACACCGTTAGCTGCTGCTGTACCACAGTCAGCTGCTGCTGCTGCTGCACCATGGTCAGCTGTACTACTCGAAGATGTGGAGAGACTAATGGTGGTGTGGCTTATCGAGAATACCAAGAAATAATTAACCACAGAGGGTTAGCCATCCAGGATAACCCAAGACAGTCAGTGTGTCATTGACGACTATTTAACTTATTTCCATTGGGGTCCTTTACCCTTTCAGGGTTGGCAGGCCCTCTCCCAAACCTATTCCCAGGGTCGGTAAAAATTCAGAAAAAAAAAATTTCTTATGAAAAGATAGTTGTTTTTTTTCTGAATTTTATAGGCTAAAGAAAAAAATTTTACCATCAATACTTACCGAGATAGGGAGGCGTGAAGTTGACAGAAAATGACCGGCATACGGTAACATCGCCGACTGCCGGTCACCCGGTATTACTTTATTTTATTTTTTAGGTACTATTTTCTATTATTTTTTAATTTTTTTTTCCAAGTAACTTTTATGGCTGGTGAGACCAATATGAATCATTATTTTGTAAGTTATTTCTTTTTCTATACTACACAATAACTGCATAAATACTGTTGCCACTATTTTGTTTACAAAACATATTTACACAAACGAACAATACAAAATGTTGTTTATTACTATTTTTCTATATTTTATGTACACATATACAGTCACAGGACATGTTTTTAGAAGTTCTGCAGCCTGTGGAAGTCTTTGAAACATGATGTCATGCACAGTGGTGTTTTACACTCCTCACACATAAAACGAGTGTCTCTGTGTTGTTGTGAACGTTTTTTTGTATGTGCAGAGATGTAGCA